ACTTGAATTCTGCCTTGCAAGTAAGTTCATCTCTACCATTTTTCTAGATTTCACTTGTAAGCAGTATTAGAGAACCTGCCTGTCAATGCAGGAGATGTAGGAGATGTGGGTTGGATCTCCGGGTTGGGACAGTCCCCTGGAGGAGGGCACGGCAGGCCACTCCAGCATTCTTGCCTGGAGAATCCCCATGGACAGAGGAGCCTGGATGGCTGCAGTCCGTAGGGTCACAAAGAATCGAACATGACTGAGTGACTTTGCAAGCACATGCAGTGTTTGTGTTTCTCTTTCTGACTCTCTTTGCTCTGTATGACAACCTCTAGGTCCGTCCATGTCTCTGCGATAGTACAGTTCTGTTCCTTTACATGGCTGAGTAGGCCCGCTCCGGTGTTCTTGCCCGGAGAATCCCAGGGACGGGGGAGCCTGGTGGGCTGCTGTCTAACTCCAGTGTTCTTGCCCGGAGAATCCCAGGGACGGGGGAGCCTGGTGGGCTGCTGTCTAACTCCAGTGTTCTTGCCTGGAGAATCCCAGGGATGGGAGAGCCTGCTGGGCTGCCGTCTAACTCCAGTGTTCTTGCCTGGAGAATCCCAGGGACGGGGGAGCCTGGTGGGCTGCCATCTAACTCCAGTGCTCTTGCCTGGAGAATCCCAGGGACGGGAGAGCCTGCTGGGCTGCGGTCTAACTCCAGTGTTCTTGCCTGGAGAGTCCCAGGGACGGGAGAGCCTGCTGGGCTGCCATCTATGGGGTCGCACAGAGTCGGACACGACTGAAGCGACTTAGCAGCAGCAGCAGCAGCAGTGTTCCATTGTATGTATGTACCACATCTTCTTTATCCGTTCCTCTGTTGATGAACATTTAGGTTGCTTCCATTTCCTGGCTATTGTAAATAGTGTTGCAATGAACATCAGGGTACATATGTCCTTTAGAATTATGGTTTTCTCCAAGTATATGTCCAGGAGTGGTACTACTGGGTCATATAGTAGCTCTGTTGTTAGTTTTTTAAGGAACCTCCACACTGTTCTCCATAGTGGCTTTGTCAGCCTTAGTTCTTATGAACCAGAGAAGTCCGGCAGAGAACTTGGTAGAACCCAATTACCAGGGGAGATAACTTGAGACAGTCTTGTCATTTTGGTGGGTTGGGGCTGATATTAGGGCTGTAAGCTGTGGGATTAATTCTGTGTCGCGTGGAGACAGTCCTGCCATCAGGCCTGTCTGGATCAGTGACCTCTTCATAGCTGTTTGGCTCTCATGTCATCAGCTTCAATCCTGATGTCCTTCTCTCCTTGTTCAGCGACCCCAGCTCCTTCTGTTCTCCTGCAGAGATTAACCTTGATGTGAAGTGGCCCGCGTATCCTGCACTGCAGGCGGATTCTTTACCCGCTGAGCCGCTGGGGAAGCCAGTGGTCCTGGATAACCCCAGGCTTTGTGGGGAAGAGGGGATCATTTCTGGAGGCATAAGTAGCCCCAAGCTGTGTCTGTAGAAGCTACCAGGCTTCTCTTCCCCGTCGAGCCTTAGGTGTCTCTGCCTGTCTGTCTCCCTGGAGTTCCAGCTCTGACTCTAGGACCAGACAACGCTCTGCTGGGGAGCTGAGTTCAAGTCCTGATAAATCAGTCCCTCTCTGAGCCCCAGGGTCCTCCTCCACAAAGGACATTCCTGAAGACAATGTCGGATGGACTTGAATCCCACTCTCTGGTTTCCCTTCACAGACCCCCCAGGCGCTGAGTTGGCAGAGAAGCACGAGGCAGTGTGCAGCTGCAGCTCCTCCTTGCCCTTGGCTTCCGTAGCCGTGTTCCTGGGCCAGGCAGTGGGCCCTCTGGTCCTAGTGGAGGGGTCATGGCTGATGCTGTGCTATGTCCCCAGCGGTCACCGTTGCAAGGCCCCCACCCTGGCGCCCACGTGCAGAGGGGCTCAATTGTTTTATTGATGCTGCATGTGGGGCCCACGGAACTCAGATGCTAAGTTCACAGGCCACCCCTGCAACTCCTCCAAGCAGATTCCCATCACTCTGCACCCTGTGGAGGAGGTGGCTTTGGTCCTGGAGACACTTCCTTCTGTTTTCACAAGATGGCATTGTTCCTGTTTCTTGCCTCTGTGATCCTTCAAAATGAAACCATATATATATATATATATATATATATGTATTTCATTCAAAATGAAACCACATATATACATATTTTACATACATTTTAATAGATTCAGTAGCTACACTCACTTGTTCGTTGGGTCTTGTTGCTAGGTAACTTGCAGCTCTTCCTCATTTTGACCTTCTGTTGATAGCTCTTTCAGTCTCGTTTCATGAAGCAGAGAATTTTCTGCACTAGCCGATCGATACTGTTTTAAACAGTTGTCCTCACGTCTCCTTCAAGCACCTGTTCTCATGAGTTGGGTTGAATCAGCATGGTGATGAAATTGCTTTAGATCCATTTTAAGAACTTCACAAGACTCTTCTCAAATGTCTTACAAAACGAATTGGTCTGTGGATCTTTTGGAAATGGGATCAGAAGTAGGCATGCCCTAGTCCTGCCTTGGGGTGGTCACCATGGTAACTAGCAGGAAGTGGGGACGGAGGGGGCTTGGAATCTACCCTGTTTATTTGGGGCATGCTTGAAGGAATGGAGAGGAAAGTCTGGGTCTGCGTTTTTAGGAATATCTGCAGGATCACAGCACACAGACTGAACTGAGGGCCTGTCTGTTCCTGCCCAAAGGCTTCACCCCAATTCCAGCCCTTTCTTTGATCCCACTGATACTCTTCCCATAGTGCACCCCCTTTACCTGCTGCCAGGTCAGGGCCAACTGCCTCTCAGCTCCTCTCCCACCCTCTCAGCCCCTGTCGACCCCAGGACCACCTCCTCCTCTTCTCTCTTACTCTCTCCTGTGGGCTTTACTTTCCATGTGCCTCTCAGAGCGTTTGATCACTTCTGCCTTCACTTCCACTCTTCAGGGTGATGTTTTACTGTCCTAACCAAACGCTTCACTCCTTAGGGACAGGAGTGGTACATGCCTTGGTTCCTTTGGCCCTGTCCTCTTTGGGCACCTGGCTCAGTGCTTTCATCACAGAGGTGCTCACCAGGCCACCCAGATCCACTCACTGCAGTCTTTTATTTTTTTTTTAATATTTATTTACTTATATTTATTTATTTGGCTGCACAGAGTCTCGGTTGTGGCACCCAGGATTTTTAGTTGAGGCATATGGGCTCTAGTTCCCTGACCAGGGATGGAACCTGGGCCCCCAACATTGGGAGTGCCGTCTTAGTCACTGGACCACCAGGGAAATTCCCTCACCACAGTGTCACTCCCCCTGTTTCGTTTGTATGTGCAGGTGAGACCTGTCTGCAGTCAGGCCCACCTGGCATCTGCTCCTGGCCTGGTGGGCAGGGTGTACAGAGTCCCGTGAATATAAGCAGTGTGTGAGGCAGCCTTGCCCAGGGCTCTTCCTTTCTTGCTGTCACTGTCACCCTCATCCTATGAGCACCTGTGAAACCCTAAATCCCACAGCAGACGTGTGATGTCTTTTTAGACAGTTCTTTTACCCCACATGACAGCTTCATCTCAGTGTTGTTGAACTGGGCTGGCTGTTACTCCCTGTCAAGCCTAGAGGTGATCATTTCGAGACAGAAACACTTTCCTGTCCCTTCTGTTCGTTTTTCATCTTAAACACATCACTGAGTGTCACTTTCAGAATTCCTGGCAGGGCTGGGTTTTTCTTAGCTGGCTCCGTTGTTAGAGAGCAGGTACACATATTCTGTTACTAGGCTGTAGAAAATGTGCTACTGGTAGAGCAGGGGCTTGTTCACAGTGTGATGGGATGTGGGTCTGTGGCATGGCTGTCTGCTTAGGGATACCAGGAATGGTGAGGAGGCTAGATGTGTTTTTCTTTGACGTGGGTCAAAGTAAATCATTTGTTCAGATTGGTGGTAACTATTACGTTCAGTGTGTGTGTGGCTATTTGTGCAAGCCTAGCATTTGTGGGTAAATTTGGAAAGCATGTTTGGTTCACTTTGGACGCCTGAAGGGTCATGTCTTCATTCTTTATGCTTATTTAAAAAGATTAATACCCAGGTACATGCGAACAGTGGAAGCTTTGAGGACTATTTAGAGATGAGACTGAGGTGTCTGTGAAAGTCTGTTCCCACCCCACGCCCTGAGACAGAATCTTGCTAAGGTGTCCAGAAGCTGCCCTAAGATGTGTTCAAAGCATGGAGGTTCCTTAGAAAAGGTAAAAATATAACTGCCATATGACCCAGTAATCCCACTACTGGGTATGTACCCAGAGAAAACCATAATTCAAAAAGACATACACTCCCCAGTGTTCATTGCAGCACTATTTACAATAGCCAGGACATGGAAGCAAGCTAGATGTCCATTCACAGAGGAATGGATAAAGAAGATTGGTACATATATACAGTGGAATATTACTTAGTCATAAAAAGGAACGGAATTGGGTCATTTATAGAGATGTGGGTGGATCTAGCCTGCATACAGAGTAAAGTCAGAAAAGCATATCATATATGTATGGAATGTATATTAACACATGTATGTGGAATCTAGAAAAATGAGCCTATTTGCAGGGCAGGAATAGAGATGCAAACATAGAGAATGGACGTGTGGGGAGGTGGGACGAATTGAGAGAGTAGGATTGACATATATACACTACACGTGTAAAACTGATAGCTCATGGGAAGCTGCTGCATTCCACAGGGAGCTCTTGGTGCTCTGTGATGACCTAGAGGGGTGGGATGGGGGATGGGTTAGGAGGGAAGTCCAAGAAGGAGGGGACATGTGTATACATGTGGCTGATTCACGTGGTTGTACAGCAGAAACTAACACAGCTTGTAAAGCAACTTTATACCCCACCGACACACACACAAGGCACTGAATGAGCCATCACGTGTCCGTCTTCTGGTGACTTGGTGTTAGGGGTGTGCTGTTTTACCCCATTAGACAGTAGGCCCTGGTCTGATCCGTCTCTCTTCCCTCACCCTGGTCTCGTGCTTTCGGGAAGAGAGAACCACAGTGAGATCGAGAGGCGGCGGCGGAACAAGATGACTCAGTACATCACCGAGCTCTCGGACATGGTCCCCACGTGCAGCGCGCTGGCCCGGAAGCCTGACAAGCTCACCATCCTGCGCATGGCCGTCTCTCACATGAAGTCCATGCGGGGCACCGGGAACAAGTCCACGGACGGCGCCTACAAGCCTTCGTTCCTGACAGAGCAGGTACCCGTTTACCCCTCGTCTGTGCTCCTTGCTCCCCTGGGAACCACATTCCTGGGAGGGCAGAGAACGGTGAGAAGGACAGCGTTCACCGAAAGGCTGAGGTGGGGACGAAGGCAGGAAATTTTATTCCTGTGCTTCACTGGGAAACTCTTCTGGGGACTGTCTTTCTGATTTTGCATCCTCTGCTTTTTCTCCCCACCATGTATCTTAATAAGACAGGCTTCCCTGGTGGCTCAGTGGTAAAGAACCTGCCTGCTAGTGTAGGAGATGCAGGTTTGATCCCTTGGTTGGGAAGATCCCCTGGAGGAGGAAATGGCTACCCACTCCAGTATTCTTACCTGGAGAATCCCGTGTCAGTGGAGCCTAGCTGGCTACAGTCCATGGGATCGCGAAAGAGTCAGACACGACTGAGTGACTGAACAACAACCACCTTAATAAAGCATCACTCAAAACAAAGCAAAAAGAGATATTGTGCTTAGCACATGCTAACCCAGGAAAAAGCCAGCAAACCCAGTTCTGTGCTAGACTAGCAGTGACGGTGTCATCATGATGAAAGTTTTGGTAGATGTCGCAGCAATCATAGTGACAGGATTTAACAGCTAGCATGTAGCCGGCCTCTGCCCTGAGCCCAGTTGAAGTCATGTCCTTTCTGTGTAGGATTTCACTGAATCCTTATTCTGCTCAAGGAGGAAGCTGCTGTTGTTCATCCCTGCTTTCGAGATGAAGAAGTGGAGGCTTCGAAAGTGTGTACTGCTCAGTGCAGACCAGGAGTTGACACAGGGTGGTCAGACCCCAGAACCATGTATTTTAACAGCTATCCTGGCCTTTGCAGACTTTGGAACAGTGAACCCATGAGGTGGTCTGTGGGAAGTATTGATATATTGTAACTTGACCATTCCACGCCCTGGAAGGCCTGTGTTCTGGATCCTTGTTCTTCCCCGTTCTGATCAGATTGTCAGCTTGTATTCGCTCATCTGTGTACAAACATGAGCTTTCTGCCTTCCTGACCCTGAGGGCTTCTGCAGGATAAAGAGGACAATGGACTTGGTGCTGACAGGGGGACAGGGAAGTGATGTGTTGTCAGGGACACAGGCAGGAAGAAGTGTTCAGGCTCGTCAGGGGCTGCCCGGGACAGAGTCAGCGCTGGCCTGCTGGGAGGGAGCCCCACATTTGCGTAGAAAGAGAGCAGAGGAAGGGGTTACATGGGGAGACTTGGGAAACCAGTGAAAACAGAGCCTTGGAGGAAGGGGTGAGAGGTGTGTCCAGAGACAGAATCGTGTGTTTTGCTGGAGTGAGGAATCTAAGCATTAGGTTTAGAAAAAGAGCAAGGAAAGAGGAGCTCACATGAATTCCTGTGCGGCAGACTTTTTAGTGAGGGTTTTTTTGTCATCCCAGTGCCCATGTGCTCTTCACCCCAAAATGTGAAGAAGTGTGGCAGTGGGGTGACCCTCGCTGGGAGCCGTGGAACACAATAGTCCAGGGCAGAATGCCCAACCCATTTCCACCTCTGTAAAAGGGTTAGGGTTAACACAGCGATGGCTCCCACCTGGCAGGGTTGTGGAGACAGGTAAGGGAGGAAGCAGAGTAGAGTGTTTAACACGGGGCTGGAGTGGAATGAAGGATGACTAGCTGGTGGATAGTGTGAAAGTAGTGTTGATCACTTAGTCATGTCGGACTCTCTGTGACCCCATGGACTATAGCCTGCCAGACTCCTCTGTCCATGGAATTCTCCAGGAAAGAATGCTGGAGTGGGTTGCCATGCTCTCCTTCAGGGGATCTTCCCAACCCAGGGATTGAACCCAGGGTCTCCTGCATTGGCAGGCGGGTTCTTTACCATCTGAACCACCAGGGAAGCCTAGCTGGCAGGTCAGCAAACAGAAATGCATTATGCACGTCCTGACCGCTGGGGTTGGTAAAAAGGCTTTTCCTCTACATTTCTTTAATCTTTATAAAAACCCTGTTGGAGTCCATATTTGACATTAATCTCTTTAAGTGACTGGGGATTAAAAATGTGGAGGGACTTTCCTGGTGGTCCAGTGGCTAAAGATTCTGTGCTCCCAATGCAGGGGGCCCAGGTTTGATCCCTGGTCAGGGAACTAGATCCCACATGCCCTAAGAGTTTGCATGCTACAACTGAAGATCCCACATGCCATAACTAAGACCTGGTGTAGCCAAATTAATAAATATACTTTTTAAAATTCTGTTTAAAAAAGAAAGAAAATGGAGAGAAGAGAGAGGCAGTTATGCATGTCATATGCATCCTCTCCCCCCATTCATCTCTCAGTTCCTTGGTAGGCTGTTGATAATGACAACAGCCACATGTGTTAAGTACCTACTGTTCGCCAAGCCCTTACTAAGTCCTTCACATTCAAGATCTCATTTAACCTCACAAAATTTCCCCCCCTGCCCCAAGAAAAAAGCATGAAAAAAAACAGAAGCCAAAGATATTACATCAGGAGTCCAGACTTGCACAGCGAAGTGGAAGAGCTGGAGTTGGTGGTCTCCTTTGACTCTACCATCTGTGGTTTTAGACCTTCGTATTGGCTTAACTGGAGGATAGGGGCAAGGCTCCTCCTGGATTCAGGGCACAGGACCTTGGTCATGAGTGGGGTGCTCCCAGAAGATGAAAACCGAAGGGGAGGATGTAGAAAGAGGGGCCCGTGAGGAGGATGAGCTCTGGCCCATAAGCCCTTCCCACAGTCCCTAAAAAGGGCTGAAACTGTGAGAACATAAATGGAGTCAACTTGTCCACTTCCTCTCCTTCGGAGACACACAATTCTCTACTTTCCCAGACAACCTGTTTTATGTGTTACAGTCCTTCCTGTTGGGAAGACCATCTCAACACTGAGAATAAAACCACTGACCCAGTCTTCTGAACTAAGTCATCATCAAGAGGGATGGCACAGCGGAAGTGCGAAGCAAGACAAAGGGGGAAAATAAACGTTTCTTTAAAAAATGATTGTATAGCCCACTTCCGCACCCAATTCCCAGGCAAAGGATGTTAGAGTTCTGACTCAGCCGAGGGCTTGGAGACCTCCCTGGGTTCTGCTCACCAGCTGACTCATATTTCCTAGTCTTTGAGCTTTTGGGCGCCCTCAGGTCGGGCACGGGGCAGGGCCGGATGCTCCAGGCTCCACACAGGTGGCCCTTACTCTGTTACAGCAGGGCTTCCACCTACAATTTTTGTTGGTTGTTTAGTCATTCAGTCATTTCTAACTCTTTGTGACCCCATGGACTCCTCTGTGTCTGCCCGTCTCCTCTGTCCTTGGGGATTCTCCGGCAAGAATACTAGAGTGGGTTCCCATTTCCTACTCCAGGGTATCTTCCCAACCCAGGGATCGAACCGAACCCGAGTCTCCTGCTTTGGCAGGTGGATTCTTTACCACTTGAGCCACCAGGGACGCCCACCTGCAATTACACGGAAGCAAGGAATTTGGGGCTTCCCAGGTGGCTCGTGGTGGAGAATCCGCCTGCCCATGCAGGAGATGTAAGAATTGTGGGTTCAGTCTGTGGACAGTCCATGGACAGAGGAGGCTAGCGGGCTACAATCCATGGGGTCACAAAAGAGTCGGACACAATTTAGCAATTAAACAACAAAACAGCAAAGAATTCCCAGTAAGAACTGTTTGCCAACTGCTGATCAGAAGAAACCCTTTTTGCCTTGGGGCCTGAGCAGTGTGTGAGGTGCATGGAGGGCCGGATGTGGACTCCAGCGCACGTGGAAGAGTTGGTCCCCAAGTCCTGCAAGGACGGAGCCCCTTGCATTCAGCAGGAAAGGACCCCTGGGCCTGACATGAGACTGGCAGGGGAGACAGCTGCATCTGGGCTGCCTGCAGACCCTGCAAAAAGAAGGCATCTCATTTGAACAAAGTTGATCTTGCCAACTCTGCATCCCTCTTGGGATGTTGAGGGCTTCCTGCCGCCCATTCATCCTTCCTGCCGGCACTGACAGTCATGAGCTCTGTGAGTCAGTGTGACTCCAGGGCTGGCACAGCTAAACTCTCTTCTCACCGCCAAGGGACACGGACAGTGTAGGTATCCTGCCACTGCCTGGGATTCCCCTGGGACTCTGTTGAGATGTCAGTTGTTGCAGAGTTCTGGGAGTTTGACAGACAAGACAATGTAAAGTGATGCCCTTATATCTGCTGCCAGCCTTCAGCTCAGCAAGGAAGAGAAGAGGAGTGAGAGCCCTGGCAGCGTGGCAGGCAGTGGCTGGGGGGACTCCTGGGGCCTCTCCTCCTCTCCTCCCGCTGTCCCGCGGTCCTCCCCTCCCTTCCGGACCAGCCTGTGCTCCAGTGACAGGACTGCAGTTTGGATATTTAGGAGAGGCCATTCACACCTCTGTGACCCAATACCTTCTGATTCCCTCGGGCTGGGAATTCCCTCTTTCCTTAAGAGAGAGCAAGTTAAGGGACTTCCTTGGTGGTCCAGTGATAAAGACTTCACCTTCTAATGCAGGGGGTCTGAGTTTGATCCCTGGGCAGGGAGCTAAGATGCCACATACCTCATGGCCACATAAAAGCATATTGTAACAAATTCAGTGAAGACTTTAAAAATGGTCCACATTTTAAAAAAATCATAAAAAAGAGGACTAGTTAAAGACAGTTAACAGTGTTTGGAACAGCTGTTTCTTGACACTTAGTATGAGCTTTCCAAACTTCTTTAAAAAAATAACTCATTCATTTATTTTTGGCTACACTGGGTCTTCATTGCTGAGTAGACTTTCTCTAGTTCTGAACAGCAGCGAGTCCTCTTCCTTGTGGTGTGAGGGCTTCTCATTGCAGTGGCTTCTCTTGTTATGGAGCTCAGGCTCTAGGCGCATGGGCTTCAGAGTTATGGCGCACAAGTTTAGAGCTCCTTGGCATGTGAAACCTTCCTGGATCAGGGATTGAACCTGTGTCCCCTGCACTGAGAGGCAGCGTCTTATCCTCCATACCACCAGGGAAGTCTGCTTTGTGCACTTTTAAAGCTCATTTTCCAGAAAAAAAAAAAAAGAGAGTTCCCAAAAGCATTTGTGTATCATAATGAGCTTCTGAATGAAAGTTGAAGGTTGCTGATGAGACTGTTTACTTGACCTGGGTTTGTCCGCGTCGGGTCTCATGGTGATCTTCTCTTCCCAGGAACTGAAGCATCTCATCCTCGAAGCAGCTGATGGGTTTCTGTTTGTAGTGGCAGCTGAGACGGGCAGAGTGATTTACGTGTCCGACTCTGTCACCCCTGTGCTGAATCAACCGCAGTCAGAGTGGTTTGGGAGCACCCTCTATGAGCAGGTACATCCTGACGACGTGGAGAAGCTGAGAGAGCAGCTGTGCACCTCAGAAAACTCAATGACAGGTCAGTGTCGCTCTCTCCATGAAGCTTTCTCCCTAGAAAATCTTTCCTTAAACATACCGAGGAATAACACTGGAACAAATGTATTACCATATGTAAAATAGATAGCCTGTGGGAGTTTGATGTGTGACAAAGGGCACCCAAAGCTGGTGCTCTGTGACAACCTGGAGGAAAGGAGTGGGGACGGAGGTGGGGGGGGTAGAGAATAGACGGGACACAGGTATGCTTATGGCTGATTCACACTGATGTATGGCAGAAACTATCACGATATTATAAAGTAATTATCCTCCAGTTAAAATAAATAAATTTTAAAAATACCAGGAAGTTTGAGGTCAGAAAAAGTTGCCTACAGATGAAGGACATGTTTGACTTAGTTTGTTTAATAGCTTCATTTATCCTGTAACATGTTTTTTTTTTTTTTTAAATTTTTTTCATTTATTTGTAGCATGTTAAAAATTCATTTTTAATGCATGATTTTTTTCTTATATTTTACCTCCAATTATGGAATGTTGCCACTTGGAGGCATTGTTGACTCATTAGCCACAACCCACTCAAGTGTGTGATTATTTGTGAACCTAATCATAGGTGTTGATTTTCCAGGCCTTACTTATGGGAAGTGAAATTTCTTATTGAGACATTTAAATACAGTTAGCTCTGCTATACCACGAAATAATGTGTTATAAAAATCACTGCAAGAAACAAAATCATGAAATAAAAACCACAGGGCTTGGGAGGGAAAGTGGGCTAGACATGACACTAAAAATTTATCAGGGACAGATAAGAACAAAACTAGGAACCTAATAAAAATGGGAGCATGGCTTGACACATTAAGTGGTTAAGAAATTTATGGCACTTGACCTTGAAATCTAACTTGAAGTTAACTTGTGTAAGTGAGCCTCAGAACTTGGGTGTTGGTGTGAAAATGGTCCAAGGACTATCGTGTGAAATCAGGCAGAAATCAAGAACTGTAACACAATATGTAGATAGTTGTGGCTCATAACAGACGTGGTAAATCAAGGCAGCTTCTGTGTGCCAGACTGTGTATATTTTGTGAATTCCTGTGTGGCTGTATTCAGCTGGGTGCAGTTTCTGTGTTCATGTAGTACTTTACAGATAAAATCAAGCATAAGCAAACACAAAATTCACATTCTGATCAAACTGTCGCCCAATGTATCAGTGTCACTGGAGCAGAATTGCATTTTTAATTATTTTGTTTATTTATTGGGCTGTGTTGTGTCTTAGTTGCGGCATGCAGGTTCTTCATTGTGTCATGCGGAATCTTCTGTTGCAATGCACAAACTCTCTAGTTATGGCTTGAAGTCTCAATATTTGCAGCACATAGGCTTAGTTGCTCTTTGGCCTGTGGGGTTTCAATTCCCTGACTAGGGAATGAACCCGTGTCCCCCTGCATTGCAAGGTGGACTCTTCACTGCTGGACCACCTGGGAAGTGCCAAGATTTGTTTTTTTCAAAAAAAGCATTATAGTAGAGCTGAGTATACCATGATAGGGCTTCCCTGGTGGCTCAGATAGTAAAGAACCTGCCTGCAATCCAGGAGACCTGGGTTTGATCCCTGGGTCTGGAAGATACTCTGGAGAAGAGAATGGCCACCCACTCCAGTATTCTTGCCTGGAGAATTCCATGGACAGCGGAGCCTGGCTCTAGTCCATGAGGTTGCAAAGAGTCAGATGTGATTGAGCAACTAACACTTCATACCATGATCCCTACGTTCCGCTTTATGACAGATCTGTTTGTGCATCGTGTTCTTCCTACCACACCAAGAGCCACTGGAGTCTCATTTTCTTCTTTGTCTGCCTAAAGTACCTCACTGAGTGCTCGGCACACAGTAGGTGTTCAGCAGAAGCCTGGTAAGCAGTGAGGCAGTGCTTTTATACTGTAGTAGTCTGCTAGGGTTGAGGTAACAAAACACCACAGACTGGGTGGCTTAAACTACTGCCATTTATTTTCTCACAGTTTTGGAGGGTAGAAGTCCAAGATCAAGGTGTTGACAGGTTTGGTTTCTGGTAAGAACTCTCTCCTGGGCTGCAGACAGCCACCTTCCCGCTCTGTATTAGGGTTAGTTTCTCAGTTGTGTCTGACTCTCTGCAGCCTCATGGCCTAGAGCCTGTCAGGCTCCTCTGTCTATGAGATTCTCCAGCAAGAATACTGGAGTGGGTTTCCATTCCCTTCTCCAAGGGATCTTCCCGACCCAAGGATCAAACCTGGGTCTCCTGCATTGGTGGGTGTTTTACCGTCAGAGCCACGGGGGAAGCCTCTCCCTCCAAAGGGCCCAAATCTCTGGATAGGCGTCCCATGTCCAATCTTCTCACCACTCAGGATGAGCTGGGTCTACACTATGCTCCAGTAAACCAAACTATACCCCAATAAAATTAATTTTTAAAATGTTTTTTAAAAGTGACAGGAGTACTGCTGCTTCTGAACGATAATAGTAATTTTGTCAGTGTTGGTTATCAATGACACAAAGAAGGAAGATAATGAAGGATTAAGGTGTGTGGACAGATTCTATGATGTGCGGGGATGAGCTCTCCGTATATGTAAAACAACGGTGCTGAAACAGACTCAGAGAAAGACATGGTCCGCCATCGCACAGCTGGGGCTGAATGAGAGAACTCCCTACAGACATCATTGGGGACACGCCTTGGGAAGTTAACGATCTTGGAAGGGATGTGAAAGGGAGAATACATCAGCCAGGAAGTGCTGGTTTGACAGCTGAAATCACCTTCCCTGAAAAAAGCTGTCTTTTTTCCCCCCCGACTCCAGTATGTGAACACAGGATGTGGCTTATGAAAGCAGTCAGGAGACCCAGCTGGGGCAGTCAGTGGGTGGGGGAAGTGATGGTCAAAGTCAGGTCAGTCTGCGGACCAAGGGTTTAACAAACCAGCTCGCCAGAGTTGGGTGGACACTTCTGTCTGTGGGAAGTCTTAATGTGTATGGCAGTGTTGAAAGGGGCAGCGTGAACCACATTTGGAAAGAAAGGTCCCTGGAGTGGACGTTGGATGGTGGCCTTGGCAGCCAGAGCTGGTGTAGTGAAGTGAGTCCTCCAAGACGCCAGAGAAGAGCCAGTGAAGCCTGAGTGGTTGGGCTCCATGAGGTGGGGTGGAGAGGGTGGTGAAGAGGACTGGGTCTCTTCTGGAACCAGAGAGCATGCAATGCGAATCTCCCAGGACACACAACGTAAAAGCATATTGATCCAGTGTAGGGAGCTTGGGATAGCTCACTGCAGCCAGGCTGCTGCTGGCCTCAGGGTTTTGCTGGACCAAGGACTGGACAGGAGCTGGGCTTTGTAGCCAGCCAAAGTGCAGATGTAATGAAAACTAGTAATAAAAAACCACAGGGACGATATGATGCCTTCAGTGATTGGACTAGGGTTTCTCAACCCTCCTGTCCTTAGGCATGGTGGGTTTCAGGCCCGGAGAGAGGTGACATGGCCCGTTGGATGGGGTGTCAGGGTGGGGGCAGGGTGTGGGGGCAAGGAGCCAGGCAAGGACTGCTGGGGTTGGGCTGGTTTACCCAGGGCAGCCTGGCACACTTGACCCAATGAAGTTTCCCTTCTCTGAGCTTCCCAGTCAGTAGAGAGTCCCTGTTCCATACATAGGTTTTGCAGGGCAGCCTAGACTGAGCATTTGGGGCCTTGTGTGTGCATGGTGGCCGGGGGACAAGACGCCTAATGACAGTGGGGCCTGCAGACGCCCATACTGACTTGAGGATCCCAGAAAAACAATACTTGCCCAGAATTGCAGTCACTGGGGGTGCTGGTGATGAGGGAGTTCTTTGTGGAATTAAAATTTTCCCCTGGCTGGAGGAGTGATGACAGAGAGTGGGTCAGAAGATTCACAAAGTCTCCTTAGAATGGAAACCAGGCATCATGGAATTGTTCAGTTGCTAAGTGGTGTCAGACTCTTTGCGACCCCATGGACTGCAGCACTCCAGCCTTCCCTGTCCTCCAGTATCTTCTGGAGTTTGCTCAGATTCTTTGTCCATTGAACTGGTGATGCCATCCAATCATCTCATGGAGTGGTGTGGACCAGTGCAATGATGTGACTTGTCTGTGAATGAAAGCTGGGGTTTGTCAATGTGAGGAGGGCCTGGGGGAACCCTCACCTAGCAGGAGCAGCACTGCTCATAGAGAAAGTGCTGGGAGGGCCTTGGGAGCTGCTTGCTGGTTTGCACTCTGTGATCTTGGCTGGTCCCTCTCTTCTCTGTTTCTTGTTCTCCTTATCTCAGCCTAGGCCATTGCTTGGCCCCTTCCAGCTCTGTTCTACCCTCTTGCCCAAGGCCCCGGTATAGAACCTAATCTACTGATTGGAGAAATGGTAGGAGGTTGAAGAAGAGGAGCTAAAAGCTGCCACCAGGTTCCCTGGCTCAGGGCCACACCCGCAGGCCCCTCTGGGCCCCGTTCCCATGAACGCTGTGGGTTGTCACAGCCTGGTGGGCAGGGTGGCAACATTGGCTCTGGAAACCCAAGAGCTATGCAGAACACAGGACATCAAAAGTAAGTGGGGAAATGTTTTCAGATCTCTAAGAAAAAGTTAATTGAATCTTAGCTTTCCATGAAAATTAAAATTATATTTTAAGTATTATTTTTAGATATTGTTTTAAAAATGCTACACAGAGACATGCATCATGTAATAAGGGTGGAGTTTTCTCTCTCTGAACAGTTATATAAGTGGATTTTGAGTAGAAGGAAAAAGAGGTCAAGAAATGACTGAAACTGTGTGCATGCCAAGTCTCTCAGTCGTGTCTGACTCTTTGTGACCCTATGGACTACAGTCTACCAGGTTCCTCTTTCCATGGGATTCTCCAGGAGAGGGTTGACATGACTTCCTCCAGGAGGTCTTCCTGAGTCAGGGATTGAACCTGCGTCTCATGTCTCCTGCATTGGCAGATGGGTTCTTTACCACTAGCATCACCTGGGAAACCTGACTGAAGCTATAAAGGAATTCTCAATGGCCAGTATCCAATAGATTGCAATTGAATAGCCAGTGATCAGGAGATTTTTGCACATCCAGCTTCTTAGGTTTGAATCAACAAAGTTCCCAAAGGGAAAAAGAAGAGCCATAGAG